AGCTGATAAGCGTGGGATTTAGATTCAAAACATGTGTGTGGTCTTCGTGTACCTCCACCTACAGGGCTGGCTGTGCCCACCATCTTTATCTTTGTCTCCCCGTCCTACCGGGGTCCGCCTCTTATTCCACATTCCTATACTAATCTAATTTGGATTAAGATTCCAAAATCTCTCAATATATCACGATTACCCTCTATCGTCCAGTCCATGGCCCGGTCCTTATTTTGAAAAAGTCTTGCAAGAGACTTTTAAACAGTTTTTTTTGGTCTTTCAGATCCGCTTGCCATATCAGGTGACGCGGAGAAAGAAGCTAAGCGCAAGAAGAAGTTGGTTTGTAATCAACACTACGGGGGTGCTTGAGATAACCATGTCGAAGAGATAAGGATAGACTAAGCGTGTCCAGTGCACTACAAACAAAGAACGGAATAGAAGGGGCCTAACGAGTCCTTCCTTGCTCCCGTTGAGGGATAGAACTCTTCCAATGAAGCAGGTGATACATCTGAACAAGAAGCAGACTAAGACAGTGATTCGGATCTCACACCTTCCACCAGCCTCTTACAATAGGGGCTTTTTTTTGCGAGTTTCTTTCCTTCGTGTTGGTAGTGGTACCTACCTGCTAAGCTATCCTCTTTTATTCTATACTCTATTTTTTGCCCGCCCTGAGGAGGGCCCAACTTTCAAATGGAGTGAAGTAATTGGATTTAGGATGTCACTAGGCGACTAATCCACCTTTCCAATACAACTTCTTTCTACTTCCGGATATCATAATAAAGGAAGAAAAAAAGTGCTTGATCCGCTCGAACAGTTTCCCACCCGGACTGTGACTTCTTTCTGATTCCCCAATCCCAACTTGGACTTCCCCATGGAAGGAGTTTTATCCCAGATTGGATTCATTCTATTTTAGCTCGAGACTTCTAAACTATAGGCGTAAAGCAGGTCATGAACCCACAGTTTTGTCACAGCTTTGGAATTGGAATCCACATGCTAGATGTGATGCTTCTTGTCGAGGCACAACTTTTATTCCATGGTTGTACCATCGCCTTATCGTGTTCCAGTAGCCACACTTGCTACTGTCTTGGTGTTCCAAGGCTTTCTATCTGGCTTAGCAGCCCTTCTTCTTTTGGTGTGCCATGATGGTATGGAAGATGCATTTTCTCTTGCCATTGCAGGGCACTTCTTTGACTAAAGCAACAAGGGCTTTAGGAGTTCCACCGGTTTGCCTTCTGGCTTGACTGAATGGACTGAGACCGAGGAACAACTATCATGCTACTGGTTTTTAACCGAATTGCAACTTTCTAGCTCTTAGCTTGACTACCTCTACCGAGAAGCTCTCTCTCGCTTCAACCCAACTAATTCACAGACGATGAAAAGAAGTCCTCAAATACTAAGTACACTAAGTGGGTAAAGACGAAGCAGTTGCTCGTTAGCTGGATCAACGCCACCTCCGGATGGAAAGGACAAGGAGCTGTCGGATGTCAATCTCTTTTCTTTATGCTGCATGCAGCTACCTTCCATCGGCACATTATTCGCTCTGCTACAACAAACGAACTAAATAGCAGATCATTGAGAGTGAGTGAACGGCTAACCAAGGCTTCTCGTTTGGAGAAAAATCGTGGTGGAAATGCGGTTGAAAGCTGAAATGAGACGACAGAACGAGTGAAAGAAGTTACTGAAAGTAAAGCCCCTTTTGTTGTGTTGGGCAACATGGGAGTGCGAACTCGGTTCCCCGTACGACACACACAACTATTAACTCTCTTTCTCAATCAGGTCTAGAATAAGAAGTTACTGAAAGTAAAGCCCCTTTTGTTGTGTTGGGCAACATGGGAGTGCGAACTCGGTTCCCCGTACGACACACACAACTATTAACGCTCTTTCTCAATCAGGTCTGGAACGCACAGTGTTGTTCAACCTTTCCCTTTGTCTTTACTACTCGATCGGAGGGCTTATGGCCGCTTTCCTATTTCTTTCTGTTTTATGTCGCTAATGGTCGCTAAGGCCGCTTTCGCTGCAGGTTCGTACTGTTTAGTTTAAAGCAATAGAGGGCGCCTTCGCTTCGTAAGGCATGGCCCTATGCCTTACTCGCTCCGGGAAGTACTTCTTCGATGCAGCTCACACAGTCCTATTCAACTCTTCAAAATCTATGAGTGAGATTTCAACTCTCTCAAATGTAGGGTATCTTTCCTACTATCGGTTCCTTTCATTAGAGACAAATAAACCACACTTAAGGTTTGTTACCCACCGGAATGGATTGCGCTTTTCATTCCCACCGGTTTCAGAGCGCTGTTTTCAACCCCATGAGGAGTCAGTCAATGCACGATGAGGAACTACCAACCAGTAACCAATTGACGTCGGATTCCGGTAAAGTGAAAAGCGCCTTTACCTTTAGTTGGAAATAAATATAGGTCGGATTTCCACTTCTATAAGCCAACTCAATGCACAAACGTTATCTGTCTTACCGGTGAGTTACAGTTAAACGCCCTATTCGCTATACCGTTAGTGATGCTTATCACTCTTTCAATCGGTTAAACGCATTCTCTTACCCGTTGAACTTATTACTTTCCACTTTTCAGTCTGAAATTCAGATTGTGACCTATCGCTCGGAGAAATCAAGCTCAGAGACCACTACTGGGCGGTGGCTTATCGTCGTCCATTATCTAACCGAAAAGACGTGAAGTAAAGACGTGTTCTTATTATATGTAATTTAGAGTCGCTTTTAACATTATAAGGTACGGAACCCCATGCCGATTTTCTTAATACCTTGTTACCTTGAACGATAGATTGGTTCGACTTCCTTCAACCCGGGCAAGCAATTAGTCCCTCTACGGTACCGCCTCTTTCAACGCGGAATAGCTGAACAATCGGAATAAAAGTCCTGTTTTCACTTTTCTCGAATTTGCTTTCCGTGGTGACTCATCAGATTATAGAGTGAAACCTTTAGCGAAGGGATTTAAATAGGCAGTTTAGAACTGTACCCCTAAAGCTGCGAATATAGGTCAGTGCTTTCCTTTCTTTTCCCTTCCCCGTTGTCCTTATTGTATTGTCATATTTCTAGTGGGATGAAAACAGTGCTTTCGTAATAAGGAAGCACGTCGACTCCGAAAGCAAGCTCCCGAGAGGGAAAGAGAAGAAAAGAACCAATGACATCATCCGAGGCCGATTGCTTCTCTCGAGATAGTAGTGAGGAAGGAAAATGCTTTGTCTATCGATGTAGTTCCAAGTCTTCGATGTCCCTCGAAGACTGACAAGAATTTGTACTAACAGAGTAGTAGAATGGGATTGATGATGAGCGGGCAAAAGCCCCTAGATCTCCTGGTTTGTGAGCCGGGTTCAACCCTTTTTTTTCTTAGCTACTCTGGATTCTATTCTAGATGCTACTTACTTACATATTCCATTTTATTTCAAAAGGTAGCCCATCTATATAGCATAGTTGAAAGTGGACAAAAAGGGCTATTCCCATAGCGTTACGTAGGCTTAGCTTAGCCCCTCTCTCTAACTAAGGATTCAATCCAGTCCCAAGCATCCCTGGATTGAATCTTTCGGTTTTTTATATCAGCGAGCTAGATCCCTAAAATGCTCGGTACTTTAAGGTGGGGAAACCAATCCTCCCTGCTCGTTCCTAGTTTTTTTTTCCACCTTATTTCATTCACTGATTTCTGTAATTCATTTCTCTTTTATGAATAGTTGGTTGTGTAGGATGATTGGTGGGTAGTTTGAAAGACGAATGCCGGAGGGCAGCTTTTTAGAGCGGGTGCTCTGTGCGGTATTTTTTATGTTTATGTCTGTATTTGTTCTGTAGTTGGATCAGCCCTTTTGCTTAGTATGTCAAGGGTGGATTAATGAATGACTGCTTTAGCTCTATCGACAGAGGCCCCGCCTAAAGTTCTGACCCTTGCTTCAAGCTCTGCTCTGGGAGAATGGCCCCACCCGATGTGATCGACATCGTATCTCAACCTGTTCATGCTGCGGAGCGAACACCTACTTTGAGAAGAAAGAAATCCTTTCCTAAAGTGAAAGTGAATTAAAGTCGGTACATCATAAATAAAAAGAGAGGCTTCAGTTTCTTGCTTATCTATGGAATATCGCATTGTTACTGGCCTTTCCAAAAAAGAATTTTATTATTAGGAAATAAGGGAGACTGTGACTCTCCCCCTTTATGTGTTCTATATCAAAGTCAAAGAGGGTCTTGACATCTTTCTTAAGGGTTTCTTTCAACGCCTTACAATTTGTTCTCATCGGGAACCTCTGGTGTTGGATGTAGATTTGGAACTTTAGGATGGACTTCACCGCTTTTATTTTAAAGGGAAAGAGGAAGCCCCGGACGTCAACTTCTTTCATGACGACCAAGAAGATATTTCCCAATTGCGGTCCTCCTTTTGTAAAAATTATAGACCAGGGATTTATTCCTCTCCTTCAAGTTCTACTGCACCCTTCGGTCATGTAAACCAAGCTCACAGAAAAAAAAAAATATTACACCGATGTATCGTACTCTCTCGACCAGGTCATCATAAGAAAATATGGAAAAATCTTTCCAAAGTGAGAGAAGGAGGGAAGGCACGCTACAACTAACATAATAGCCAGCTGAAAGACGTTAGCTAGCTAAGCTAGCGCGCAATGGCTTTCTCTGATAGGGGCTTGCTTCTTTAAGCTCCGCCCAACCTATACAAGGTGCTGTTGGCTTTCTCTCAGCCACTAGTGGCTTATGTATTGGGCGGCATTCCTACGTGCTCCTCCTTGCCCCCCTACTTAAGAACCCACAGGTCACCTTTGGATGTTGCCGTGACGCTTTGGTTACGAAGGTTACCGAGGTCTAAGTTTATGGATGAATTCAGTCAGCGAAAGCCCCTCCTACTCAATCAATATCAACAAGATGTCATGACCGCTTAGGCTTGGTTTATTTTGTCATAAAAGAAAGTTGGTTTCGTGGGTTCATTGATTAGTACACCTCCGGTGCTTGTAAGGCCGGGACCGTGGTCGTCCGTCTATGGTTTGCCGGCCGATAAGATCTCTGAGATTGACCAGCCAGCTGGGTTGGTTTGGCTATTCTTTTCTATTGAAAAGGAGTTAGATGTCTGCGCGAGTCACCTTCTTCTAGGCTCCGCTGGACGACACGGCATTTTCGTTCAAATATATATAGGCCGGCCGTACTTGTGATGGTTCCCAAGGATACAATATGACCACTTAGGTCTACGTTGCCACAATATTGTTTTATGGAAGCGGGTGGTTTAGAAGTTCGGCCCGGTTTTTTTGGTGTCGTAGGGGAGGGATTGACCTTTCTAACACATATTCAGTCGTACCGGCATGGCCCCACTGATTTGTTTTCGATCGGAGCATCAAGCAGCGCAACCCGGTTCTATTTGACTAAACCCGTGCTCTTCCAAGGAGAGAGTTTGCTTTACCCAACTCCCTTTTTTATAACAAGGCAGAAATCCCCAACCCGACACTTGGTAGTTTCGAATGAAGAATGAAAAGTTCCCTGCCCTAGCAAGCACCTACTCCTATCAAAAAGCGAGACTTTACTAAACAAGCAAGAAAGGCTCTTTATATCTTATTAGTCAAGCGCTAACGAGCAAGCAAAGGGATGCGCTAAGAAGCAAGGGCTTTTGTGCAGCTGTTGTGCCCTTGCTTCTTGCCTTATCTTACTTAGTAAAGCAACCTTTCGCGCTAGGCGCTCACCTTTTCCCTAAAATAGAATATTTGGAAGTTGGTAAAGACCCGCCCCTTGTTTCAGTCAGAATGAGTCCCCGAGACCCCGGGACATTGGCTTTCGCCAACAGTGAACTATTAAGGATCGCGTCCCGCGCATATTCTATATTATAGCTTGCAACTGATTCAGCTTCCGCTTCTGGGAGATCAAACGGAGCTCGATTAGTTTCTGCTAGACGAGATATAAAGAGCATAACTAATACAGGGAACAAGGGAATACCAGACCATATCTGCTTTTGCGCCATGACAATCTCACTCGAATTACGGGAACCTACACATATTAGTACAGTATACCGGGGTCCCCGGCCAGAACCACACCTGCAAGTTTCCCTGCATGTGGCTCGCCCGTGCTTTCCAAGGCACTGCCTGTGACTCAGCATGGGAGAAGGGGGCGGAACTGCACACCTTCGTGTTCAGAGCATTGTCCGAGAGACTGATGTAAGGCTTGAATAGACTGGAAGAGATGGCTAAAGGAAGACTGCATATTTCTATTCAAAGAAAGCCCCTTTTTTTAGTATCTTTAGTGAGCCTATAGATGGAGACCCTACAGAGCCCGTAAACTCCTGATTTAGACATGAAAATAGGACATTCCGAACCTTTTCCTCATGGAATGAGAAGATCGATGCCACTATCACCTCTTGGCTTTGCTTTCGTATAATCTATTCGACTAGAAGGAAGGTTATACGAATGACTTTGCAAGAGTAGTTTTATCGGTGGAAGGGAGGGAGAAGGTTCTTCGACTGAAGCCCGCCCTCTATGATCTTAAATGAGTGCGGAAATGTCCCTTTAAGAAAAGGATCTTTACATAAAAAGAGCTCAGAGGTTTAGCCAGCTATTGTCCTATTTCTTTTTTCTTCTCGATGAGAGGCTTCCCCAACAGCACTGGCAACCTCCATGGTCTTTCCCAATCTAATATTTTTCTATTACTGACACCCGGAGCCAGCAAGAATTTCTAAAGCAACTCCCGAACCTAATTCCTAAGGTCACATACCTGTCGCGTAAAAAGAAAATGCATAAATGCATATATAGTTGGAATCTCCAATAGGGCAGGCATTAATATGAAAAGGTTGACTTTCCAGCTGGGACATCATCCACAGCGTCATCTTCCTTTAGTTTAGGAAGTAGATCGAAGGGTCCCACCCGGTCATCATGGAGAAAACTACCACTCTTTCAATTGGCGTCTAACCATCTTCTTCTCACTAGGGCCGGGATTGGTCTTTCTAATCAATCAGAAAATGAACTGGTGTGAAGATCTTGAATGCAAGAGTGAGTTTGCCTTTGTGGAAAAGAGCCTCTTCGTTGCGAGCGAATATTATCAAACCTGCGGTCAGCTATGATATACTCAAATCTTTTCACCTCCCTCTTCGATCGATCCGGAAGACGTTTCCTTAGCAGTTGACATCTCAACAGAGTCCTCCGGTCGAGTTGGAAAACAACCCTTGAGACCTACGAGCTCCTAAAGCAAAGAAATAAATAGACAAACTTAGACGAGGGCATCTTGAACCCCTTTCCCTACGGTCGAGTTAGCCCATGACCTCAAGATCAAGAAGAGCTAGCCATACATAGAAGACAAGGGAAGACCTTGCTCGACCAAATGAACGTAGCAGCAGGGATATTTAGAGATGGGAGCATGAGCGAATGAAAGGAATGCAAGAGGTGATTCTTGTCTTTGAAAGTCCCGGGTTCTATATCATCATAATAGGTGTGGATGGGCTGATTGGAGTAGTTATTTCTCGCCTGATGTCCCGAAGAGCCTATAGAAGGTGAGCCCCGATAGTCTTTAGAATACTGAAATAGATCTCGGTAGGCTTGGTAACTCAATAGAAATAGCTCTTTATAAAATATCTAGGTCGTTAGGTCTAGGTATGGTTCTACGTGCATGCCATAGCTTATGAATCAAGGCTATTCTGGGTACATTTTTCTAGGTATCCTATAAGGAGAATGTTGTGGGTTTGGGGGAATGGGAGAAAAAAAACCTCGTTTTTCTAATCGGACAAAAGAGTGGAAATCCCTGTTGTAGCAGGAGGAAGCAATTGATCTCATTCTTAGTCCCTCTTCCCGAAAGACTTCCTTTTTTGAAACTAAACCCCTCCGACCCATGAAAATTGGAGAACTTTATATTCATTAGTACCGGTTTTAGGGGACTGCTGAGAGGTATGCCAACTCGTTGGATGAATAGTTCTTCCCATTCCAATCGAGTATGTCCACCACCATAAATGTTTGAATTGGGTCGATGACCTGATTCTAGCAGATGTAAAGATGGCTAGAGAGGAGACGGGAAAGGTAGCAAGGACTGAAGCAGCCACACTAACATCTATCTGAGAAAGCAGTAATAGAGCACACAACGAAAAATAAGGACTGAAGCAGCCACACCAGCATCTATCTGAGAAAGCAGTAATAGAGCACGCAACGAAAAGGGCAAGAGGAGCGTCCAGTCGAATCAGTTTCTCATTTTTCTGAAATTGACTTGGCCGGTTGTTGCTCCAACACTTGGGTATTAGCAGCCGTTTCCAGCTGTTGTTCCCCTCCCAAGAGCGGGTTCAGTTTACCGAGTTGTCCGAGCTCGAGTCAGGATACTATACTGCCTTTGAAAAGCACGGATGCCGTTACAAGTGTTCAAGATAGTTAAAGAGTTGAGGGATATTCCTCCCCATGAGAACCCACTACAAATAGTACCCTTTATGCCTGAGATTACTTGGTATTTAAGTGACTAGGTAATAAAACCAACTATTCTGCAATGAGTGAAAGGCTATCAGTGCTTCCAGAGCTGCCAACTCAGCTCTTTTTTATGTCATCTTCAGAGTCTTCCTTCCTAGCAGCCTATGTCTAGTGTCAAAAAAGGCATTAGCAAGGTCTTTCCACATGGACCTTGCTGAACTAGATTCCCTGCTAGCGAGAGCAGCTTAGAAAGATAAAGGAGCGCAAACAGGGGTTGTTTGAAAATGAACAGATAAGCTAAGGCACTACTTCTTTTCTGCCTACTAGCAATGCAACTACTCCTGAGAAATAGTCAAACTGAACTAGTTGAAGCTAAGGGCCATCGAAGACCAGATGATGGGTTACGAAGATATACAAGGAAAGAGAGGCTCTGGAATACCTTTCACTTTCAGTTAATCAGGGCTTAGCCCTGGCGGCCCTTTCATTTCTGAATGAAGCCTTAGAGATGAACTATAGAAGGAGACAGGCTTCAGCCTTTCCAGAGTGAGCGCCATACATTACTGTAGCACACACAGGTCCCCAAAGATAAAGGCTTTCATCCTTCCTAAATATTCTGGGAACTTTCTTCTATTAGTTGTTTTCGAAATGCCGATTTTCCTGTCTGTGCTAAGGCGACAAGGAAAAAGAGAGGGGCCTTTAGTATGTGGATAAAAAGGCAAAGATCACATTCCAACTAACATTGACTGGTAATTTCCTTAATGAGGCGGATAAGGCGCAAGAACCTAAAAGGCGGACTAAGATAAGTTATTCAGCTAGGGAATGCGTTAAAGAGCCGTTATGTAGCATCTAAGAACAAGAAAGCAGACATGCACACGAAAAGACTTGCAAGACTAAGGTAAGGCTTTACTTTACTAGTCCTATCCCTACGACCCTTACTCTTCTAAGGGGTTAGACAAGCATTCTTTCAAAGTCTTTCTTTTCTTACAAATGCCAATGCGGGTAAACTAGCCTTTTAGCTTTATAGAATCTAGCTGGACTAGCCTATCCTTTATACCGACCCGGCCTTCAATCAAAGGCTAGTCATCATTATCTCATTGGTTTGCTTTCTGATAGCTTTTCTCTAGGCTAAGAAATTCGATGACTCATCCTAGGGCTTTTCTTTTTGTTCCCCTTTGTAAAGCAATGGAAAAGAGACTAGAACCATGTGACAAAAGGTTTCATAAGCAAACATTATTGTGGAAATCAAGGGAGAGTGCCGTTTTAGAAAAGATACAATAGTTTCCGCTTCCCCCGAGCTTAGGGGTCTACGGGGGGTAACCGGTCGATCAACTCATTTCGGGGTTAACCTATCGATCAACTCATTTCGGGGTTAACCTGTCGATCAACTCTAGGCTAAGCTTCTAGTGAAAAACTAAAGCCCTACCTTATAGAATGAAATTCCGCAGTTTTGCAATAACTTGGCCTTTTTCTTCACTTCAGCTTTGAGCTGATTTTAGCCACCGAGGACCGGCTCAATGAGCACCTTTGGGCGGTGCTTTCTCGATCAACTATCTGACTTATTCAGAATGACGGTGAACCAAGACATGAAGAAGTGCAATGCAAAAGAACGCCTTCTTTCTTGAGGCCTCGGGCAGTGGAAGAAGAACAATCGCTAAGGAATAGCTTGAACTAAGAGGAAGGGAAGTAATACTTGGCCAATTCCCCGGTATTCATTGAAGACTTCGCACGTACCCCTGCTAATTCTTTTTCTAATACAATACTAAGGCCGCATATCTGTACTCATTAGTAGGAAAAAGCCCTTCACTTCAAAACAATCAATCAGGACTAGTGCCATCCGCGTTTCTTCTGACTATTGAAAGTGGAAGTTCAAGCTGTGAAGCTCATTTTCCAGCATTCCTTTCAATTCTATCAACCGATTTGGCAACTTTCAGCTATACAAAGTTAGGTGATTTACCGGGTCGGCATTCATCTTGATTTCGGCCTTTATTTTCTTCCTTTGAAACGATTGACCTGACCGGCTTGAAACTTGATTTGATTATCTAAGGAATTAAAAACTTGATTTTTTCAAACGAGGACTCTCTTTTTAGGAAGACGATTTCCGGCCATTCTTCGAAGCTGATTTGAAAACAAAACATTTGTTCCGTGACGTGAGGCTCCAGCTTAAAACTTTGAAACTATACCAAATCATACTTGGCAACTGAAGCATGGAGGAGAAGAGCTGGAAAAAACCCCTCTTTTCAAAAGAAAGCGACCCGCCAAAATACATTGCAATAGAAAACTCTTTAGCGGAAATGGTTTCCTGGCCTATTGAAACTCTTTCAGCCGATTCACGGCAACACATTACTTCAGATCAGATTTGTGCCAATTCCTCCATTCACAGAATGCCCTTATCAATCAAACTTTTTCTCTCTTACCGAAACTGCCCTCTACATCCCCATCTTCAGCAGCTCCTCAATCTTTCATTTCGAAATTAAAACTTGGATGTCACGGGACTTTCTCACAACTTCGTTCCTTGCGTTTTTTCCATCTTTAGCAGTTCCATATTAATCGGTTTCATTCCGACAGTCGAGATGGTTAGCTTGGTCGCTAATGGTATTTTCTATTTAGAATACCTAGAGTAATGACAATCTTCCTTACTTGAATTGGAATCTTAAGCAGCTCATTCCGATCTTCACTGGTCTAAGACGACCCTCTGTTCAAGTACCCCTTCTTCTACTCGAGCCTCGGCAGAGCGTTTTTTATCTCATTCGTATTCTAAGGAATTCT